GCGTCCCTTATCACACGTCGTCAATCTTTTTGAAGAAAAAAAACTGATCTCCATTTTTTATTTTATGATCCATTCCTCATCCTTCTGAAGGAGCCGTGGATTCCGAACTCCAATTTTATGTTATTGTTACCTCTCTTGTGTAAGTATGCTTTCGTTCTCTAACACACCCCGAGATTTGGTTCAACTTTTACTCTTTTTTTATTCCTCAGTAATAGGGGGACAAAGGCGTCCACATAATACGTTTAGAAATGCGCCGAGCGACGCTTCTGTTGCATGAGGCAGCAGACAGAGAGAGGGAGAGGGAGGGGGGGAGTGAATAAGAATGAAAGAGAGAAAAAGAGAGAGAGAGAGAGAGAGGGGGGGGGGGGGAGGGGGGGGGAGAGGGGGGAAGTGAATAAGAATGAAAGAGAGAGAGAGAGAGAGAGAGACGAGAGAGAGAGAGGAGAGATGAGAGAGAGAGAGAGAGAGAGGGGGGGGGGGAGAGGGGAAGAGAGGGGGGAAGTGAATAAGAATGAAGAGAGAAAAAGAGAGAGGAGAGAGAAGAGGAGAGAGAAGGAGGGAGAGAGGAGAGAGAGAGAGGAGAGAGAGAGAGAGAGAGAGAGAGAGAGAGAGAGGGTGAGAGAGAGAGAGGAAGAGAGAGAAAGGGAGGGAGAGAGGGGGAAGTGAATAAGAATGAAAGAGAGGAAAAAAGAGAGAAAGAGAGAGAGAGAGAGAGGGAGGGAGGAGGGAGGGTGGGAGGGAGAGAAGAGAGAGAGAGAGAGAGAGAGAGAGAGAAGAGAGAGAGAGGAGAGAGAGAAGAGAGAGAGAGAGAGAGAAGAGAGAGAGAGAGAGAGAGGGAGGGAGGAGGGAGTGGAGGGAGAGAGAGGGGGGGAAGTGAATAAGAATGAAAGAGAGAGAGAGAGGGAGGGGGGGGAGGGGGGAGTGAATAAGAATGAAAGAGAGAAAGAGAGAGAGAGAGAGAGAGAGAGAGAGAGAGAGAGAGAGAGAGAGGACGAGAAGAGAGAGAGAGAGAGAGAGAGAGGCAGGGCGGGCGGGAGAGAGGTGGGTTGTTGACGGTTGAATAAGAAGTGCAGAGAGAGTAGAGAGAGAGAGAGATCGAGAGAGAGCGAGAGAGCGAGAGAGAGATCTATGGAGCGAGAGGAGAGAAGACGAGAGAGAGAGCGGATATACGAGAGGATAGATCTGAGACAGAAAGATAGAGAGAGAGAATAGGAGAGAGAGATAGAGCGAGATAGAGAGCGCAGGGAGAGCGATCGATTACTAGTTAGATGACGTTTATAGACGAACGAAATAGACGATCGTGGTCGCACGAGGGAGAGAAGACAGAGAGCCGAGAGAAGACAGAGCAGAAGTCGCGAGAGAGCGCTCGTAGATATAGAGAGAGAGAGAGAGAGCATATTGAGAGAGACGAGAGTGAGAGTAGATATATAGGATAGAGAGAGAGAGAGATAGGACGGCGAGCTCAGAGAGACAGAGATATACTTATCGCGCGGCGACATGCGTCTACGAGAGAGATGAGTTTGCTGAGAGAATGAGGGGGACAGGGGGAGTATGAATGTGGTATGAAATGAAAGAGAGAGAGACCGAGATAATAGGAGAGATAGTAGAGAGAGCGCGAGCGTCAGAGAGAGAGTATCGGAGAATAGATAGAGAGCGCGCTTAGAGACGAGTACGATGAAGATGAGGAGAAGGATAGTATAGAATATAACATATATAGATAGAGAGAGAGATGATAGTAGACCACTAGAGAGAGAGAGAGAGAAAGAGCGACGTCATAGATAGAGTAGAGCGAGAGAATCGCGAGAGAGAAAGGAGAGAGAGAGATCAGAGATACGAGATAGAGAGAGTGAGCATATAGCTAGATACTGGATATATAGAGAGGTCTACAGCGATAGATCATATATCCGATAGAGATAGATGCGCTAGAGAGATATCATTAAGCTTTCATGTATGAAGGGTTATTATTTTAATGGAAGAAAATATCAGAGAAAGGCTATCATATCTTTTATGAGGTTAGCAAATTTATTCATCAAATTCAGGTAAAAATAATACAGATCTTTGTACTTTCATGTAAAAAAATGAGGTTTAGGAAGAAGTTACTTCCAATTTTCTTCCTGGTGAATATCCAATAATTAATGTTAAAGAGTTCTCTTACACGGAGGATAATGAAGCGCAATTCTTATGGGATAATCAAACTCGAAGTATAATTTATTCAGTTATTTACTGATTCGCTTATGTACTTTCATGAAGGTAAAGTTGATGGTGAGTAAATATCAGAGGCAGAGGATGATTTTTAGTAGTAGTATCGTTATTATTATTTTTATCATTATTTTCATTATCACTATAGAATCCATATTAGCAAAAGTGGCGTTAGGAATGAAAATGAAAACGATAGACATAGAACGAAAAATAAAAAATATAACAAATATTATGAATTTCATAAGCTAACTCTAGCATATGTACGTCCTACCCTAAAAAAAATTCTCAGTGTATGCATCCTAGCTTTACGTCTTTATGTAGGCCAATGAAGCTCTCACTTCAAGAAGAAAGTTCCAGATTATGGAGGGGAAACTTTTATATCTTGTTTGTATTGCAGTATTTCCGCGCTATTTTCCTGGCTATTTTTGCACTTCCTTAAATTTTCATTTTATTGTTATCGATGCCACGGGTATTGGAATCATTATGTTGTTAGCGCAGTAATTGTTGATTTGATTATCATAGTATTGCTATTATATGGGATATGATAAAGATAATGATAATCATTAAACACCACCATCATTATAAACATTATCTTCAGAGCCGTTTTTTTGTTGTTGTTTTTTTCAATTTATCTCGAGAAGTCACGCAAGTCCCTGACCCGCCCTCTGCTTTCCTCCACAGAGACATCGACGACATCAACTACGACATCCTTCACTTGGATATCTGGTGAGTGAACCATGGCGAGAATGTGTGCACTGGCTTTAGTTAAGAAATGATTTTCTTGACTCCTGGAGAGGAAATGTAGTAACGAAAGTGTTGCTTGGCTGTCGTATATGGACAGCGGTGATGGATTCATCACCAGAAGCAGAATATATGTACATTCGCACGCACAAACACACGCACACATTCACATGCATGCATATCTATACATATACATGTATGCACACACACACACACACACACACACACACACAGTGAGTGTGAGTGTGTGTGAGCGTGTGTGTGTGTGTGTGTGTGTGTGTGTGTGTGTGTGTGTGTGTGTGTGTGTGTGTGTGTGTGTGTGTGTGTGTGTGTGTGTGTGTGTGTGTGCGTGTGTGTGTGTGTTTGTGTGTGCATACATAAACACACACATATATATAACCGGAGCAATCAGGTCATAGCAAAGACAACGGTGGTGATAACAATAATAAGAAGGGAATGTCAATAACAACAGCAGGAGACAGAACAATAACAAATATAACGTCAGTGGTAATGGTAATCATATTAATGTAAGTGATGTTAATAATAAAGAAAATTTTGATAAGAAGAATGATAATAACAACAACAAAGACAAAAAAGCAATAATGACAATAATAATAACAATTATTATTTTTACTATCATTATTATTATTATCATAATTACTATTAGTAGTAGTAGTAGTATTATCATCATTATAATAATGATAATAGTGATAATAATAATAATAATATTATTATAAATGTTATTATTATTATATTTATTATCATCATGATTATTATATATCATTATTATTAAATGCATTATCATTAGATATTTTAATCATTATTAAATTTCCTAATCTTTATTTTTTTTTATTAAAGTTATTATTATTATTATATTATTATTCTTGTTATTGTTGCCATTATCATTTGTTTGTATTTATTAGTAATCATTATCATCATTATTGTTATTATCCATCATGTTACAGAAATGTCCATTGTCAACTGTTATTTCTTCGTCTTCTTATTATTATTATTCCCATTAGCAACAGGTTCACATCTTTATATTACCTTCCGTTTTTAATTTATCCACCATCTAAAACATTTATTACTTACTCTTTCTACTCCTATTCTTATCACTATTATTTTCCATTGCTATTAATCACCATTACACAAATCCTCATTGTTACTAACGATACAAATGCATTTACACATCAGAGTCGCGTCAGTTGTAAATATTAACCGTTTACTCTTATCAAAGCTCAATATCATTATGCTCTCCGTCTGTTAACAAACTTATAAGGAGGGTTTCTATATAAGCCTGTCTCTTCTCTCCTCGTCTCTTCTCTTTTTTTCTTTTCTCTTCTTTTCACTTCTCTTCTTTTCTCTTCTCTTCTCTTCTTTTCTCTTCTCTTCTTTTCTCTTCTCTTCTCTTTTTTTCTCTTTTCTGGTCCCTCGTCTCCCTTTTTCTTGTCTTCTCTTGTCTCCTCTCCTCTCTCTTCTCTCCTTCTCTTTTCTGCTTTCCTGTTGCTTTGCCTCGTCCACCTTTTCCACTTTTTTAACTTCTTTCTCTTCTTGTCTCGTCGTTTTTTTTTCCACCTCCTTCATCAATTAATATGCCTCCCATTCTCTTCCTTCTCTTTTCTTCACAGTTCTTTTTTTCTTTCTCGCCTCTTGTTTTCATCTCACTCTCTCTCTTCTCCCCTTTCTTTCATTTCCCTCTCGTTACCTCTCCCCCTCCACTCCCCCCTACCCCCTCTCCCCAATCACGCTCGCTTGTCCCTCATAGGCTTCGGCCCGCCCCCCCCCCCAGGTCCGCTGCCCCCACGCCCCTTGCCCCTCCCTCCGCCTTGTTCCCTCGCGCCCCTCCTCGCCTTCCGCTGCTTCTCCCGCCACGCCCTCACGCCCTCACGTGCCCACAGCCACGCCTCACTCGCCTCCACGCCGCTCGGCAACCCCCTCCCTCTCCTCCCCCCCTGCTCCCGTGCCCCCTCCCCCAACCTAAGCAGCCCCAACGCCTCCTCCCGCCCCTCTCCGCCCGCACGCCCACGCCGTCTCACGCGCCTCCCCTTGTCTCGCAACAG